AAGTAGATCTTCCCCTGCAGTACCATGTAGCCCACATGTCCAGGGCTCTATTCCTGGAGGAGAAGGTACATGTGAATTTTCTCACTATTAAATAAATGAGTTTTTAACAAGAAGGTAGGTAGACAATATGCTTAAGGTGGCGGTATGTATTTTAAAGTATATCTAAATTAGGACTACCTCAGAGGATCCCTTAAATACAATTTCAGAAAATATATTCAAGTTTTGTTCCAGTTTTGTGACAGTAAAAAAAAGGAATTATATATTTGTGTATATAAAATGTGCATGTTGTATTGTTTATGCAAATAATATTGTTTAGAAAAAATTGCATTGTCAATGTAAAAAAAGGATAGGCAGAAAAATTGATTGATCAATCTAGGCCATAAGGTGAAACTCTAGAGCTGTAGCAGTCCTTTTATTATGACTAATTAATTACATTTAGCAAGGTAAAAGCATTCTACATTTGGTGGGGCAGAATGACATTTATTAGCAATGTTATTACAAGATCATCTACATTTAAGAAGTCTTATTCGTGGATAGACAAATTATCACAGAGTCACATCATAGCAGTACATATCCATTGTGACCCAATTAGCATAATTCACATTACTGTTGCATGAGCACGGAGGTGGTAGGCTGATCTTGGTTACAAAGACCTTTGGCTTGTCTGATGTCTGCTGCACAAGACATCTCTGAAGACGATTATTGCCTGAGATTTCAGTAATTTCATACTCTTTCAAGCTCAGCTATCAAAAACACTGCTCTCAAATCTGACACATCTTGCAACTCTTTACCAAACCCCCTGGGCATTAACACAACAGAACTCAACGGCACTTACTATTGAGGAAGTATATAAAGGAGTGTGGTGCTAAATGTACTGATATTGGTAAATATAAGTACCTGTACATATAATGGGGATTCTAGGGTCTAAAGCAAGGGCAGCTCCCCCCAACACACAATGGATCACATGGACCCTTGCTCTGTTTGTGTCCCTATGCTCTTTTCCTAGAAGGGCACACCAGGTTCCCACTGCCACAACCACAGGCACTGCTGCAGCAAAACTGCCATGGGGGAGGGGAACATGTACTCCCCACTTAATGTGTTTCTTAATGAAAATACCAATACTTTTGCATTAGCAACAGTAGTGATAGGGATTCTTCCCAGTGGCAGGAAATCACAGTCTTACTGGGCTGAAATGGGAAGTTGCACACAACTCAGAGGTTGCACTGTATCATTTTCATGGTGGGGGGAGATCCTTGTCATACTGGAAATTATGTTAAACCTTCTATCAAGCTAAGGACATCCCTCCTAATAGCAAATACATGTGTGGAAGGCTTGGCAAAAAAGGCTTGGAGAAAAGCATTCCTTTTAGCAGGAGTAAGGAACCTCTAGCTCATCAATGCTCTTTGACTAAGGATCCTACAGGCCATGCTGAATGGCAGTGACATCACTAGGGTGGTGTGGTTTGCACTGGGTGACTCTAGAAAAGGGGTGACACCCAGTTGGGCCCTCCCTCCCACACCATCCCTGTGTGCTGCTCTCTTTCCCTGCACATTGCTTCCCATCCCTGCACTGTCCCTGCACACTGCTTTCCACCCTTGTACCATCCCATCATTTTCCTCATCAGAAAAAGGACAGGGCAGCATGAGGGGAGGAATTGCATGCCACCCCAGAAGCCCCACTCTGGAAATCCCACCCCTCAGAAGCCCCCACACCAGGTGACACCAGGTGCAGGAACGCCACTACTGAATGCCACTGGTGAGTGTTGGAAGGCCAAAGGTTTGCCACCTTCACTTTTTTTTTTTTTTGAAGGAGTAAAGACTACAAAGTAGATACTGCAACAGTTTGTTGAAGGACTCCTTGTCAGCCCCTATGTGTGAGAATAGCATTCTTTCTTAATTACAATGGCCAAATAGAAAAGCAATCAGGACTCTTGCACCTTTATTGGCTTGTTTGTTGTTGTTAAATGTTGTCAAGTCCACTTTGACTTATGGTGACCCCATGAATGAAAGACCTTCAAGTCACCCTGCCATTAACAGCCCTGCTCAGGTCTTGCAGATGCAGGGCTGTGGCTTCCATGATTGAGTTTATCCACCTGGAATGTGGTCTTTCTTTTTCAATTTTTTTCATTGTATACATTAAAGTTACATAAATCCGTAGTCAATATTTTTGTTTTCCTAATATTCAGCATTTTCTTAATATTCAGCATTAAACCTGTCTTAGCACTTTCCTCCTTGATTTTCCTCAGTAATTGCTATTTTCTGCTAGTAATATGGTGTCATCTGCATAATTGTTGATGTTGCTTCACCCAATTTTCATGCCTTATTCCTCCAAGTCTAATTCTGCTTTGTGCATAAAATGTTCACCATAGATGTTAAACAGATAAGGTGAAAAAATGCATTCTTGCCTGACCCTCCTGCCAACTTGAAACTATTGTGTGTTACCATGTTCTATTCCAGGGGTAGGCAACCTTTCCCCTTTAAGGGCCAAGGGACTTCAGCTCCCAGAATCCCAGGAGCTATTGGCCAACATGGGACTATTGGCCAACATGGCTGAGGCTTCTGGGAGCTGAAGTCCCTCGGGCCTTAAAGGGGAAATGTTGCCTACCCCTGTTCTATTCTAACAATAGCCTCTTGTCCTGAGCACAGGTTACACATCAAGACAATTAAATACTGTGACACACTCATTTCTTTAAGAACATTCCATAGCTTTTCATGATCTGTGCAGTAAAAGGCTTTGCTGTAGTCAATAGAGCATGTGCAAAACTTTCTTTTGGAATTCTCTGGTGAACTGCATGATCCACCAAATGTTTGCAATGTGATCCCTAGTGTCTTTCCTGAAACCAGATTGTACCTCAGGGATTTCTTGCTCCTTATATGGTAGGAATCATTGCTGTAGAATTTTGAGTATTACTTTGCATGCATGGAAAATTAATGCAATGGTCCTGTGCTTACTGCAATCCCTGGTGTCCCCTTTTTTAGGAACTGAAATGTATATTGAGCATTATCAGTCATGTGGTATATTGTTTTGATTTCCATATTTGTTGACAAATTTTAGTTAGTACTAGATTAGATTCTGTTTCTGTAGAGTGAAGCAGCTCTACTAGTACGAGGGGGCATCATAAAGTTTTAATTATCACCTTTAAAAAAACTGACAGATAGTTTGTTTTGATTTGTAGTTATTGACTTATCTCTATGTAGTCACCATCCAGATTTACACATTTTCCCATTGTTTCTTGACCCTCCAAATACCGTTATTGTAGTAGTCTGCAGATTGCGCCTTTCAAGGATTCAAGTCACTTTTGGCACAACCTGTCACAAAAATAAATGACACAAGGAGCTGGTTTTCTCAATATCATGCACTTAGGGACCAATGATGACACTGACAAAATTTCATTGATATACATAATAACTTCTGGTGATAATTATTATTTTACGATACCCCTTCGTAAGGTGAAATCTGCAGACTTCAACAATATCAGGTATTTGGAGAGTCAAGAAACGCTGGAAAAAATGTGTAAATCTGAATGGTGACTATGTAGAAATAAGGTAACAAGTACAAATCAAAGCAAACTTTCTGTCAAAAAAATTTTTTAAGGTGATAATTAAAACTTTACAATGCCCTCTTGTATGCCACCTGGTCCTGGTTGTTTATTTCTTGCAAGTGCTCTGAGTGCAGCTTCCACTTCATTTTCTAAAACTGGAGGTTCTTCTTCATACAGTTTTTCATCAATTGAATCTGTCACCCTTTTATCTGTTTTATATAGTCCTTCTATGCATTATTTCCATTGTCTTTTCATTTGTACTTAGTCTTGTAACTGACTGCAGAGAATCCCTGCTAAGTATAAATTTCCCTTTGATTTTTAAGATCTTGTCAAAGAGATCTCTTGTTCCACCTTTTTTGTTGTGCACCAGAGAGTTCCAAAAGAAAATCTATTTTTCTGCATTGATTTTTTTAGTAGATCTCCTTGTTCTTGCGAACATGTTGTTAGATAGTTGCATTCAGGATTTTTACAAAATTAAAACATCTCTAAAAATTAAAGCTGTAGGGCTTCTATTAAAGCTGTAGAAACCTTGCCTTTTCCTAATATTAAGTACCAGTAACACAGGTCTACAAAAAGGAAGATCATAAAAACTTTTTTAAAATGTATACAGGAATGTGGCATTCTAAATCAAAAACGCAGATTTGCTCCATCATGTACAGGTTTTTTTTACAACTTGATTTGACATGTCTATGTTGTAATGTGTGGCTAAATGAAAGGCATTAAGGTCTTTTAATAGGCTTTAATTTGCTGATATGAAACACAAATCTGTTCAAAAGCACTAAAAGAAATTGCACTGGAACATCAGTATCCATACTTAATCAAATCTGAGTATCAACTGAATTGATAAATTATCCAATTTGTGAAAGAATTGTGTGTGGTATGATGTTTTTATTGTGTTTTTCCAATTCAACAACCAAAAATACATTTAAAACACTTGCAATATTGAAAAAAGTTTTGTTTGTTTTGTTTCTCATCTCACACCTGTGGCTACATCTGCACTGCAGAAATAATCCTGTTTGACACCACTTTAACTGCCATGTCTCAATGCTAGGGAATCCCGGGAATTGTAGTTTCTTGTGGCCCAAGAGTTCTTTCTGACAGAGAAGGCTAAATGTCTCCCCAAACTACAATTCCCAGAATTCCATAGCATTGAGCCATGGTAGTTAAAGCGGTGTCAAACTGGATTATTTGTATAGTGTGGCTGCAGCCTATGTCATCAATGTTTTCACTTCCAAAACCATATACCGTATTTTGTATCTCCTCTATTATACCTCTTCAAGAGAGTGGAGGAGGAAATAGTAGATTAAACTCTCTGTTGTTGCTGTGGGCAACACAGTTGTTTGTGACTTATGGCAACCCTAAGGCAAGCCTATCACAGGGTTTTCTTGGTAAGATGTGTTCAAAAGGGGGTTTGCCAGGGCTTCCCTCTGAGCAGTTACTTGCCTAAAGTGGGTTTCCATGGCTGAGTGGGGATTTGAACCCTGGTCTCCAGGGTCATAGTCTAACACTCAAACCACTATACCGCACTGGCTCTTAGACTAGAATTTAGTTCATAATTTTTAAAAATAGAAAAGTAATCTTATGAGTGTGGTTTCTGTCATGCAGACTCTCTTGAATATTGGGGGGGGGGGGGGGGGGGAAATCATGCTTACACAGAAGATGACATGAAAATAGATTAAAGGTAATTAGTAGCAATAAGAAACTCTTGCTGGGGGGGGGGGTCTGGGAAGGCTGTTTATATTTCTCTGGCCCACTGTACACTGGCAAGAATATTCTTGAGAGAAACAATTGGGATTTTGTTGTGCCAAGAGACAAGCAAGATAGTAATGTAACACATTAGAACCGTATGCAAACTTATCCCTTGGCTGACCTATCCTAATCACCGGTAAAGTTGCCAGGGAGAGATTAGTCCTGTAGTCATGTCAGGCTTTCACCATAACTTGGTGAAGTTACTACACTTGGAAAAGTTACTTTTTAGATTTCAATTCCCAGAATCCCCTAGCCATCATGGCCAGTGCTGTACATTACCACCCAGAGAAGTCCCACTTCCAAGCTGTGTATGATGCTCCAGCTATCCCTTGAAAGGATAGTGAAGTTTGTGAATATCTTGCTCTTACAATCCCTTTGACTGTTCTGATATAGATAGTTATTATTTGTTATACTACTACTAATAGTAGTAATAGTTGTGTGCCTTCAAGTCATTTCTTACTTATGGCAACCCTAAGGCAAACCTTTTGTTGTGGTTGTGTGGTTTCAAGTCATTTCTGACTAAGGCAATGCTATTGTGGGGTTTCCTTGGCAAGATTTATTGAGAGGAGGTTTGCAATGCCTTCCCCTGAGGTTGAGAGCATGTGACTTGCCCATGGACACCCAGTGGGTTTCAAGGCTGAGCTGGGAATCGAACCCTGATCTCCAGAGTTGTAGTCCAACACTCAAACTATTACGCCATGCTGGCTCTGAAGGCAAACTATCATGGGATGTTCTTGGTGAGAATTTTCAGAGTGGGGTTGCCTTTGCCTTCCTCTGAGGCTGAGAGAGTGTGACTTGTCCAAATTTCCATGGCTGAGCAGACCTTCAAACTGTCATCTCCAGAGTCATCATTTACTACTCAAACCACTACATCTGGCTTCTGCTGAAGAGTGTATTATGATAATAGCATGAGCGAATTTTTCTATGTGAATGGGAGCTGGAGGAGGGAGAGGGTCAGTAAAGCACAAGGAGTATCGGAACACTCCAGACACATCTATGGACTACGAGCTCATATTTATACATTGTCCTCAAAGTCAATAATAAAAGTAGTTGTGTGTGTGTGTATTTTAAACCTTTAATTTGAAAAAAAATGTGTCCTCTTAAGAAGCAAATACAACTTGCTGTGACCCCAGAAGATATGGTTAATCATCCCCCATCCTTTTTTCCATCAAAGCCAAAGACGTGCTAATAATAAATTGTGGCCTGCATATGAAAATACGACAAATCTGGGGCATCTCTTTAACAATTGTTATGGGAAAACAATGAGGAAAATGCAATCTCCACAGACCCTCTTCCTTCCTCCGCCCCTGGTAACCAACACATTTTTAATTTGTTTCATTTCCACAAGTCAGCCATGCATGTGTAATCTCTGTTGCTACTTTTATCAAGTAAAACTAAGTGAAAGAAATTGGCCAATAATATAAAGCTTGGCTGAGCAGAACAAATCTGAATTATAACTCAACTAAGGAGGACCGGGGCAACGAGGCTTAAAGCAGCACAAAAAGTGGAAGGGAACACACACACCGGGACTATAAATAACCAAAGCAAGGGTAGATTATTTGTTTCCTTTTGTACAGTATATTTTGGGAAGGTGGGAGGATAATCACATTGAATAAAATGATAACACTCTTATGCACAGCTTAAAAAGGAAGCTTTCCTTATCTAATAAATTTTGATGATTTTTAAAAGAGTAGATTATGGTCCAAAAAACTGCAGAAATAATTGAGTGTGCGACTGCTTTAACTACCTTGGCTAAATGCTAGGGAAATCTGGCAACTGAACTTCTGTGAGACATTTAGCAGCCTCACGTGCCACAATAAACTACAATTCCTAGAATTCTCTAGCACTGATCCAGGGCAGTTAAAACAGTTTCAAATTGGATGATTTCTGCGGTGTGTTTTGGGCCTAAGGTTGCAATCCTATATAGGTATACTCAGAAGAAGGTCCAGCTATGCTGGCCCAGCACTTCCCCCCCTAGTGCTGTAGTAGTGGAGGTTTAGGAATGTACTCTCCAACATTATGCAGGAGAAAACCAGGATACTTGTGGTAAAGCAACATCAGAATGTGGTCAAGATGATAAAAGTTATTAAAGAGCCCCCTCTTAGCAGCATTGCAGCAGTTTGCTTTTCACAGGCCTACTGGGAAGGGCAAGATTCTGCCCCCCTCTTCTCCTTTGCAAATTTAGTGCAAATGTGTTGAAATCAATTTTGCAACAATTGAAGGAAGCTGAGGATGAAGGGGGAAAGTAGGAGGAGGAGAGAGAATCTGGGACTTTTAAAAAAGCAGCTGAAAAAATGGGATGATAGAGAATTAAGGCATTAGTAGTGGCCTTTATAGCTGGCCATAGTAAGTTTATGGGGAGGAGAAATATGAAATGTGAAGTATGAAACTGCCTTCTTTCTCTTTCCTCTTCCTTTTTATTTATATCCCATCTTTTCCTTCAGGTCCAGAACTCAAGCCTTTTAAAACAATTACAATATAGATAAAAGCATACAGAAATTATAATGATAATGTTATTAAGTAAAAGTAAAGATATTTCCCATTGACAAGGTTGTCAAGTCGTGTCCGACCGTAGGGGGGCTGGTGCTCATCTCCAATACTGTGGAGACTACACTGTGCTCATGGGGCCAGCATGATTGCACAGAATGCTGTTTACCTTCCCACCAAAGTGGTACCTATTTATCTTCTTGTATTTGCATGCTTTTGAATTGCTAGGTTGGCAGGAGCTCACCCCATCATGCAGTACGCAGGCCTCGAACTGCCAACCTGCCAATCTTGCAATCAACTGCAATCTTGCAATCAAAGGTTAAACTATAACCTTTTTTAAAAAAGCCATTCAAAAGATTTTTTAAAAATAAAAAAGCAGTACTGTATTAAAAGTCTATTTTTTGAAAGCAGTTCCCAATCTTTCAGATTTCTTTAAAAAGTCTTTGCTGACAGAAAGACAGCAAGCAAAGGGCCAGTCTAGCTTCCATTCTTACTGTCCTTACGTCAGTGAACAAACATATATTTTCATTTTCATATATATGAAAATCCCAACAGGATTTTATAAACTAATTTACTTTTATTAATCTATACATACAAACTTCTAATTGTTTCTAGAGGCTACAATCAGAGCCACTTGGTGCAAAACATAGAAACTAAAAATTTAGAGTGTCTTTAATTCATTTCTCCTCCCAGCTACAAGGAATAAAGAGGATCAAAACAATCTGTATTATTTTGATTATCTGTCTAGTAAGAAAAATAAAAATGTAGAGGACTACTCTTAAACTTTGAAAGTTATTTGCTTTGTACATTTAGTAGCATGATTTACCTGTATTAAATACAGCCACAATACTGAATAGGTAGGAAATTTTTAAAACCATAGTGGTGGTCATGTAGTTAGCGTATGCTGATCTGACTCCTGGCTTAATCTTTTAAGAAAATTTGGAAGAAAAAAAGAATCAAAATATATTCTAGGGTAGTTGTGTTGGCCTTGCAGCAAACTACAACAAAATACAAAATACACAAAACAGCAATACTTTTATTGGGCCAACATCAAGGCATAAAACACATTATTCAAGCTTCCAAGTTTCACTGGCCTCTTCACCAGGTAAAGATGTTAAAAATATGCAGGAATTTTTTTAAAATTATATTAGTCACATTCTGTATTGGGGATTTTCAATGCAGACAGAGCCACTCCCTTATTGGCCATGTGAGAACTAGAAACGAAAAGTAATAAAAGACAGGCAATAAAATTCCAACTCCATTAGTAATAGAAACATAACCTCACTTGTGATCCAGATGTCCCTGTCCTATGTGAAACTGCTCCTTTCTTAGTCAGAGAACATTGAATTTTTCAAGGAAGCTCTATACTGTTTACATCTGGAAAAGCTTTTAAGTGATGTATAGGTAAAACACACCAAAGTGTAATCCCAAATTGTAATCCAATTAAAAGTTTTGCCTTTATTGGAAGCAGAAAATTTCAAAAAGTTAAGTCTCACTCCTTTGGTTTTCATAAATTTGGTATCTTGAAATCCAGGGGGGAATTTATTTATTTATTTATTTATTTATTGTTGTTGGCATTTAGAAGCAAAGATTTTTTTTTTTTTTAAAATTCTCAAACCTTAAGTGGCTTTAATACTGTATAATCATGGGACTGTATGAAAAACAGAAATTATCTATTAAGACAGTAGTACCATCACTATGGCAGTATTGTTGGCTGCACAGCAAAATACAACAAAATCCAAAATCCACAGGCAGTTAATACTATTTTTGGGGCCAATACATTACACAAGCTTTTGAGGCTTCACTGACTTCTTCGTCAGGGAAAGATGTTAAAAATCACACACAAGAAAAGTGTTGATTGATATTAGTCACAGGGCCTTTGCAGACTGCCAGAAATAGTGCAAATTGAGTCCACTTTAACTGCCCTGGCTCAGTGCTAGGGATTCATGGGAACTGTATTTTTTTCTGAGACATTGAGCCTTCTCTGACAGAGAACTCTGGTGCCACAATAAACTACAGTTCCCATGATTCCCTAGCACTGAGTCAGGGCAGTTAAAGTGGACTCAATTTGCACTATTACTGGCAGTCTGCAAAGGCACACAGACCTACATTTGGTGCTTTACAGAGTTTCTTAACCTAGACCCCAGCCCCCAAAGAGTTTATAATTCTGGCTTGTAAAAACTAGTCTACTAGTAATGGGTGACCAGAACATGCTTGAAGGAAGGAAGGTGAGGGATAGAAAGCTTTGTCTTTCCTCTGAATTCCCTTCCCATCAAATTACCTGTGAGACCATGA